ACCACGAAACGCTGTACTGGGTCTCGCGGACGCATGCGGGCGGTGCCCCTCGCTGGAGCTCCCTATGGGACCACGAGACGCTGTACTGGGAACGCATGCGGGCGGTGCCATTGGGGCCTTCGGTGGAGCTCCCTATGGGACCACGAAACGCTGTACTGGGAGAGGGGACGCATGTGGGCGGTGCCGCTGGGGCCTTCGGTGGGGCTCCCTATGGGCCCACGAAAGGCTGTACTCGGTGGGGTTCCCATGAGGGCGGACCACTGGAGTTCCCTACAGGGCCACGAAACGCTGTACCAGGTGGGGGGACGCATGCGGGCGGTGCCACTGGGGCTGGGTGGAGCTCCCAATCTATGGGGCCGCGAAATGCAATACTGGGTGGTGGACGACGCATAAGGGCGGTGCCACTGGTGTCTTTCTGTGGAGCTCCCTACGGGGCCATGAAACGCTGTACTGGGTGGTGGCTGACGCATGCGGGCGGTCGCACTGTGACCTTCGGTGGAGCTCCGTTCGGTGGTGCCCAGGCGCTTTTCCGTGCGCCGTCAGGGGCCCGGCCCGCCGCGGCCGGTCAGCAGACCGCTTCTTCTTCCCTATGGGACCACGAAACGCTGTACTGGGCAGTGGCTGACGCGTGAGGCCGGTGCCAGTGGGGCCTTCGGCGGAGCCCCTTTTATGGGGCCACCAAACGCTGTGCTGGGTGGTGGCTGGCGCATGCGGGCGGTGCCACTGGGGCCTTCGGTGGAGCTCCATGTGGGGCCACGAAAAGCTGTCCTGTGGTGGCTGACGCATCCGGCCGCTGCCACTGGGGCCGTCGGTGGAGCCCCTGATCGGGCCACGAAGCGATTTACTGGGTGGTGGCTGACGCATGCGGGCGGTCCCACTGCGACCTTCGGTGGAGCTCCCTATGGGACCACGAAACGCTGTACTGGGTGGTGGCTGACGCATGCGGGCGGTGCCACTGGGGCCTTCGGTGGAGCTCCCTATGGGACCACGAGACGCTGTACTGGGTGGTGGCTGACGCATGCGGGCGGCGCCACTGGGGCCTTCGGTGGAGCTCCTTATGGGGCCACGAAACGCTGTACTGGGTGGTGGCTGACGCATGAGGGCGGTGCCACTGGGGGCTTCGGTGGAGCCCCCTTCAGGGGGCCACCGAACGCTGTGCTGGATGGTGGCTGACGCATGCGGGCGGTCCCACTGGGACCTTCGGTGGATCTCCCTATGGGGCCACGAAACGCTGTGCTGGGTGGTGGCTGACGCATGCGGACGGTCCCATTGGGGGCTTCAATGGAGCTCCCTATGGGACCACGAAACGCTTTGCTGGGTGGTGGCTGACGCATGCGGGCGGTCCCAATGGTACCTTCGATGGAGCTCCCTATGGGGCCAGGAAACGTGTGAGGGGTGTGCCGAAATTGTGGACATGCGGAGGGCCGAGGCAAGGGATGGGAGGAAGGGGAGGGAGGAGGAGGAGGAGGAGGAGGAGGAGGAGGAGGAGGAGGAGTAGGAGGAGGAGGAGGAGGAGGGAGGAGGAGGAGGAGGAGGAGGAGGAGGAGGAGGAGGGAGAGGAGGAGGAGAGCAGGAGGAAAGCGGGGACCGTCTCTTCAAAACGAGGGCCCAACATCACAGGACGGTTGGGAAAGAGGGCTCCACGCAAGCCTCCACAAGGCAAAAAAGGGCCGACGCGCGTCGGCCCCTAGGGCCCTGCCGGAACACGCGCGGGACGGGCGGTACTCCCCTGCCCCCCTGCTCCCGAGCTCCAATCGCCAAAGCGATGTTTTTTGCCATAGGAGTTCCCCCGGAGCCAGAGGTGCGGAGCTCTCCAGAAAGAATCGTAACTTGGGTTTTTGCCTGTGGAGCCTCTTTTTGTTTGCCTTGCGCGTCGGACCCTCGAGCCCTGACGGACCATGGGCGGGGCGGGCCTTGCTCCCCTGTCCCAAGTTCCCCTGCCCCCGCGCTCCACAAGCAACAACTGTGTGACTTGCCTTGCGCGTCGTGGTTTTGGCCTTGCGCTCAATCTCCGCCTCGCCCCAGGCCTCTGCTTGTGGTCAGTGCACACTTTGACCCCACCCTGCACCTACTTGCCGCAGTTGAACTTGTTTGTCCCCTTTTTTCCGCCCATGGCCCACAAGCCGTCCTTCTCGCCTTTACCATCTGCCCCAGCACAGAACATGATTGATCCAAGATTCGAGGCGACACACCCTGACCACATGTTCAGAGGAGGAGCTGGCATTCCCGAACAGTGGATCCAGGACCAGCCCATTGATTGACGGCATCCTCCACTCGCGCAACTGGTGAATACTTCCCACGCTGCGTTCGTCCGTTCTCGCATTCTTCCCTGATACCCGACTGCCCTCTCGCTCTGTCTTCATTCTCGCCCCAGCCCTCCACGGGAGATCCAAACTCACTCAATACCACTCTCCGTAATTCGTCTACACACAATGGAAATTCACGCTCTCGCTTAGAACAGATTGGGCAAGTAGGCACAGCTTCAAGACTGGCGATCTGC